CTTGACCTCCAGCTTCAGTGATGCTCATCTGAGGCATCTAAGAGCGTTGGTGGTCTCAAGCAATACATTCGGCACACAGACATGGAAACTCTTCTCCATGCTTCCTCCTGTCACCTTCCCTCACAGACCAGGTCTCCCACATTGTTGCAAGGGCACTAGATAACCTTCCCCACCCTCACACATGAATTTGTGGATTCTGATGTTAAAATCACTTAGGGTTGGAAAGGACCTTAAGATCATCCGGTTCCAACACCCCTGCCATGGGCAGGAACACCTCACACTAAACCATGTCACCCAAGGCTCTGTCCAACCTGGCCTTGAACACCACCAGGGATGGAGCATTCACAACCTCCCTGGACAACCCATTCTAGTGCCTCACCACCCTTACAGTAAAGAACTTCCTCCTTATATCCAATCTAAACTTCCCCTGTTTAAGTTTTAACCCATTACCCCTTGTTCTATCACTACAATCCCTGGTGAAGAGTCCCTCTCTGATACACTTGTAGGTCCCCCTTCAGATACTGGAAGGCTGCTATGAGGTCTTCACATAGCTTTTCTTCTCCAGGCTGAACAGCCCCGACTTTCTTACCCTGACATCGTAGGGGAGGTGCTCCAGCCTCCTGATCATCCTCCTGGCCTCCTCTGGACTTGCTCCAACAGCTCCATGTCCTTACGTTAAAGTGTTAACTTTCTGGAGACAGGATCATCTTAGTGGCTTGGTGACAGCACCCATACAGCCTGTGCCTGCCTTGAAGGGGGCTGAGAGGGAAGAATGGTGGGCAGCACTCCTGCCTGTCTGCCGATAAGGATTTTGGCAGAGGAAGTGGTGAGGCCCCTCTGGCAGAGTTTGGAGCCAAATTCTGCTCACCGTTTCCTTCGGTGGGAAAGTCTCTATCCCTCTTAAGTTCCTAGGCAAGTTCTTCATTTTATTCCGGCCGCATTTGTGGGGAGGGCCCCCTCACACACCACATTACGCTGGTAAGACAAATACAGGGGCAACCTATTTCACCATTTGCACATTAATTTTTATGGATGGCAGCAGTAGTGACAGAGTCATGCAGTTTTCTACATCTGCAGCCAGCAGACCTGAAAGCACACCTCTGTTTCCCCTCATGACTATGAGCATTGTAAGGCTGGAGGCACCAGCATACCACGGGATGGATGCCTATAGCGAGCTGCTGGTTATGCAAACAGCTTTTGAGGGAGGTGAGGAGGGGAACACGGACTTCCACTCTGCATCAGGCATCAGCTTTGTGTTTTTCTTGCTCTATTCATACTGTATTATAGCTACTTTGGTAATTCAGCACCTGGCCTCCTACCTAATGTTTATGCAGTTAACTTTGTATACAAGATGTGAAAGTGAAATAAACAAATTCTCAGTACATCTAATAAAAAGTGTCCATGAGATAGCACTGATGTCTTGTCATCATACTAACTGCATCTCTTCCACTTTGCTTTCTTATCCTGTTTTTGTATCTATATATCACATACTGTAATTCTAAAATGATTTGTGAAGTCTCATGAGAACAATTCTCTTGTTTGAGAGCTAAAAGAAACCTCCTGTGCTGCATCTGACTCCTTTCAAGAGAAGAAAGCAAACTGGGAAAAGTAACAGCAAGAGAAACAGAAAAAAGAAAACAACAATCATAAAGTTCCTGAAAAAGAAGGAATGGCAATGGGCAACTTTGGGAAATTTTAGCTTTTCCTCTGTCTTCTTATTTTTGTGGAAGATTTCCGTCCCTGTAATCCAATCCATCTATCAACTACAACACCTACTGAAATTAAGAATGCAAAACCTAAGACTGCAAACTATGCCAAAATAACCAGATAACACACCTAAACAATTCTCTCAGAAAACACCAGAGTGCACTACTGCATAGTTGAGATGATTTACGGGCAGGCTAAATGTTATTATTGACATGTGCATTTGGTCTACTTTACACACTACAAATGGTGATTTTCCTAGTTTTGGATATTTGATTTTAAGGCAAACAGACCTGATGCTCAGCGTTCCTTCTCACCTGAATCTCTTGTTGTTTTTCTGTTGTCAAAACCAGGCTAAATGAAAATAGGTATCAAAAGACAGTGGTACTGAACATGAAGTTATCCAAGATGATACACACAACTTAATGACGACATCTGCCATCCAAAGATTCTTAAGAAAATTGTCTCTCTTTTTTGATAGAAGATCATCCAAGAGCATTTTTCATACTCTAAGGAAACATGGAAGCTAACAGAGGTGTTCATTATTAAATACCCAGAACTTTTGGTTATACAAAATTAACCATAGAATTGTACAAATTAAACGTAGAAGAACCTTTCTTCTATGTTTCCATTGTAAACCATATGATCATTCAGGCCAGAAGGCATCTTGTGAGGTCTGCACTCCAACCTTCTGTTTAAAGCAGGGTCACAGTGAATTCAGACTATGCTGCTTAAACTAGGTCTAGCTGGTCCTGAAAAACTCCACAGACGGAGATTTCGGAGCCACTCTGGGGAGCCCATTCATGTATTTATCCTCCTCACAGTGAATGTTTTTCCTCACACCAAGTCAGAACCCCACCTGTATCAAGTTGCAACCATTTCTTTTTCTCCTATCACAAAAGCCAGTGAAGAAGCTGTAGAGACGTATTCTCTATAGCCACCTCATACATATTAGGGGTTAGCTATAAGGTCCCCCCAAAGCCTTCTCCAGGCTGAACAAGACCCATTCCCTTAGCCTTTCCTCACAGGAGTGTGCTCCAGTCCTTACTATTCTGGTGGCTTTCCACTTACACTCACTCCAGTCTTTCCTGGATCTTAGCTATGCGAGTTACACACACATCCTTTTACATACAGGTTCTCCAAATGCATAATTCTACTTTTCTTTGAGGCTTACCTTGTCAAAGTGGTGAATATTCATGATGCCTCTGTGGTAACCTAAACATGAGGCTCTTGAAGGAGGTGGACTACCTCACATTGCACCAAATTAGCAGCAGAAGCAGCAGGCCTGGGTATCCAGGCTCCCTGATTGCAGGAATCCAGACAAATGTTTTTGCCTGCTGTTCCTGTCAAATAAAGACAAATTCTACCTCCAACTTGAGCGGATTTCCTGAGGTGCTTATGTATATGGGGCTAACAGGTTAAACTAAAATGAATGGAACAGTAGGTTTCATTCATGCATGAGGTACTTGAAGGTTGCATTAGACTCACCACAAACACCTCTCAATTCATCCTTTCATTAATGAACAGCACTTTCATACCAGGAAGGTTACTTGAAATGTTGTAACTGTATGTTTCTAGTACTAAACACAATTAAATAGTAATGTAGCTGATACAGTCACAGCACTGTTACACCTAAGGTGGGGGACTTCACATACCATCCAGATTTTAAGCAATTTTAAAGTAAGCTCATTAAACTGATTTGCTGAGGGTGCATAGTATTGCCTAATGAAATGCAGTCCAAGTCACGCATCATTTTGGTACCAAAACCTTAACCTAGCTGAAAAATTCAGTGCTTATATTTTGGACCCTGAATGCTTTACAAAAAGTATTTAATGAAAGAGGGGCCTTTGGTGCAAGTCTGTTCAATTTCTGGTTTCCACAGTGAAGCTTCAGGTGGTCATTTCAGACTACAGAGTGCCAAGTGCAGAGCCCTGCTCTAGTGAAATAAGGTCCCCAGGAAATAGTGCACTAGCAGTTTTGACCTCTACTAAGTGGAATCAACAATGGCCACATATTAAAGACTGTATCATCAAAAGTTCTACAAGTGTCAGAGAACTTTGCTGCCTTCTGTGCTCCATGCATATACATAAAAGAGTCTTCTTGTAAACCAATGAAACCTCCTCTTTTCTGCTACTATCAGTACAGTGGGTGACGGACTCTGCCAGACTTCTCTAAATGCAAAGCACCATCTCATTGTAGTGGATACTATGGCAAAACAGTCCCTCTCCAGAGTCCATATGCATCATACAAGAAAAGTTTTAAAATGTTTTAAAAGCACATCTCAAGGAAATCCTCAACCTCCAAATAGCTCCCATTGTAGTTGATGAATGTAATTGATGTTTGCAAATGAATTACATTAATTTCTATGACAAATAAGTGAATAGGTGTACTGCTACATTTTTTATATACTCACTGCACAAGAGCCTGGCAAGGCTTATCACTGAAGTTATAAATGAAGATTAACCACATTAGATTTAAGGCTGACAAAAATACAGACTTGAGTGTGCATGTTAGCAGCAGCCAAGCTCTATTTCTCCAATGATCCCGTGTTCAGTGCTTACTGTTCCTTTCCATATCTTTCAAGAAGTTTGGGAACAGAAAGTTATTCCAGTTTTGGTATAAGATACAAAGTTTAGTGATTACACAATTACAACCTGGAATTATCAAGTGAGAATTACAAATCCGTGAGTAAAACTGGAGAAGTACTTAAGTGTGACACCCTGCAGAAACTGTTAACAGTAAGTACAGAGCACCACTAATTTCTGTGGTATGAAGTTTTTCCAGTTATATCCCTGCTGTGAAGCTCCCTTGGGAACAGAAGGGACTACTCTTAAAAAACAAACTGAATATAAACCTCTGACAACAGGCTATTAGGTCTGCTTTGTGTTTTGATGAGATTTATGCAAGTGCCCAAGTGAATAGATACAAATTACCTTTCAGAATGTTTACTGAACCCAAACAGTACTATTTCCACTAACAGATGCTAGTAATAGTGAACTCTGCAGATGCATCACAGATGAACACTTCTGATCTGCTATGTTTGGAAATGTATTCTTACATTACTCTTCTACTTCTCCAGTCCTTCCTCCCTGCTGTCTGTAACTTATCATTGCAATATAAATGTAGTAACACTGAAAATATTAATATTAATGAAAACATGTTCACAGTGGGAAAATAGTGACTCAGGCTTGTAACTCCACTTACACATTCCAGCAATAATCTCTTAAGAAACAAGCATCAAATACCATGACTTTATACAAGTAGCACCATTTAAAATTGCAAGTAAGCACACTGAGTATGTTTTTATACATTTTATTGCTTGTAATAACTGTAGCATCATTTACAGCTTTCATTTCCAACACATCAAAGAGAATCAGCACAAAAACCTATCCAAGCTCAGCACTCCTGAAGTGGAACCTTGGTTACATAAGCGTTGTACACCTTGGTGTGTAACAGACCTAAGAACAGTCAGTTCATCCAAACACTTTAAGTACAGTCACTTCATGCATTTTTCAGGGCTGTCTTAAGTTTCATGTTAGGGGTGCAAAAAGAAGAAAAAGCTACAAGATTTACAGAGATGACCCATTTTTAAACCAAAATTCTTATGTCTAAATTATTAAACTACAGCAAGGGCCCTTCTTCAGCTGTAAAAATTTTGCTCTGCAAAACAAAGAAAAAAACAAGATTAGTCACTTTGCTGTATCAAGCACAAGAAAGATTAGCAGCAGCCTAAAGACTTGCTGGTTCATGCTGCATCTATTCCCATTTCTGTCAAAATTGTGCCAGATTCAGTCACCAGTTCCTGAGCCAAAATGGAAGTAGATATAAAACCAATCACTTCCTCAAGGGCTTTGCCTTTTTAAATCCTGGCTGAAAACCTGAGACTTGTCAGGCAAGCGCCTGCATGCAATCCCCTACTGTCTCCACAGAAACTCACAGACTCTCAAACCAAGACAGTCCATTTGGTTTTACTCATTTCTTTTAGTTGTTTATGAACTACTTAAAATGAAAATTGTTAATTATTAACTACCCATTGTGATGAACAACCTTTATCCTCTGAATTTCTGAATGTAGGTTTAAGTTGTTCTAGCTGATGCATTTGTTATTTAGCTTACTTCACTGGCTTAAATATGAAAGTCAGCACAAGAAGGAAGGAGTAACAGAAGGCAGAAAACAAACCCAATTCAAACAGGTAGAACTGAAATATCATAGAATTAATAATAGATAGAACAAACATCTCAGTACCCACTGAAGACCCCACAGGAGGCTGTGAACTAGTCCTTAACTAGCAATCATCACTGAAGTTTAAGTTGTCCAGCCCCTCAGAAGCCACAGTACAGGCTTTGCCATGTTAGATTTCAGTAAATGAGCCTAGAACCTCCCTCCCCACCTCTGAAAGACCCCCAGGATCAAAATTAAACAAAATTACAACAGGATTGTGCTCAGGTATATTCTGCTGTGCTTCAAGGTGGGAGTTTTACCTGAAGTGAACCCTTAACCTCTGAAGATTCCAATAATGTAGGAGCAGAAACCGTGCAGGGATTCCCAGCAATGTTCCCGGGCCAGCTTCATTGCTTCTGTTTCATTTTCAGACCCTTGACTATGTCGGGTTGGTTTTATAAGTGGTAGTATTGGAGGTTTTAATATTTTCTTAATAGGGCTTTTCCCTGCTCCCCTTCCAGAAGTGGAAGTTTTCTGGACTGATTTGACCTGGTTTGCTGCATCTCCTGGTTCCATACCAGCAGCTATTTGCTTCATGAAAGCTGCTGAGGGAGCCTTTTGGCACATGGTGATCTTCAACACTTGTGTGGATTCGCAGGCGTGTGGGAGCTTTCTAAGTTCCATGGCAATCTGGTTCCAGTAAATCTTTGGGTTGTTTCTGAAAGCACGGCAGACTGATGGCTTGCCAGTGAATTCACACCAGTAGGTCATAGCTTGGCTTTTGCATTCAATTCTAAGTTTCATCTCCTCATCCCCACTCATGCTCATTGTGCAAACATCTTTGGTTTTAGTCCGAAAATTGATTACTTCACCATCGCTTCTTTTCTTTGGCTTCAACTTGTGTCCCAATCCTCCCAAGCCACAGATCACTACTAGGAAAAGAAGAGCAAAACTCTTCATGGTGAGAGGAGGTGACTGAGATCCTTGAGCAACACGATCCAAATAAGTGGAAGCAGTAAGTGGCTGCTCACAATTTAAAGGCTTGGTGCACAAAGGAGCCTCTTACCAGCGGAACATGGGATGGGAGGTTTATTTTTTTAAATAAAAATAATAAATCACACTTCAGTAAGCATGTGCCATAATTTATAGCCTGAGGGAGTGTCAAATAACCTGCGAACCCCCAAGAAGGTAACAGGACAAACCTTGTAAATGCAGTTATAGAGTGATAGTTGTATAACTGAGAAGCACATTCCTATGAGGATGAACATGTCATATTTGATTTGAACAGGTATTTTCCATTCTCCAGCTGCTTTATAGCCAGCTATCTTCATGCCAGAGCTTGTAAGACCATACTGAAGTAAAAAAAGATGAAAGTGCCAAAGCAATCTATGCCGCTACATCTGGGTGATTAAAATGTGTCTTACTAATAAAGGCTGATTTGTGGAATAGGTTTTCTGTGGATTTGTACAGTAAGGATCCAATGCTAACACGTCATCAGCACATGACACATGTCAGCACAGTGGGGACATGTTGAAGAATCAACTGCACATTCTGTGAGCTGTGAAAGGTTTTCAGACTTGCAGTTTTCAACAATGTTAAGGAATAAAGGTTTAGCAAAATAAGGTATTACAGGCCTAAACATAAACCAAACATGTGGAAGTGTATCACCATTGTCACACCATGGGTTGTTTTCAGCCAAAGGAGCAAGACAACAGAGCTAGCTTATCATGGGTCTCAGCAGCAGGGAAGAGACCCCAGAGTATGTCAGATATTTGTGTTTTATCACCTTCCACTTTTTTTCTAAATAGATATTTTCCTGTTCATAGTAAATGAGCTGTGAAACTGCCATAAAACAAAGGCAAGGGAACAGAAATGTATTACTGCAGATTCCTGTACTAGCAGTTTCTGCTACAGCAAGTAAAAGCAGAGCTAAGGAAAATCATGGTAACTCTCCTGGCATCCAGGAGGCCATGAGAAGAATCCCTTCCAGACTTCTGCAAGCCACAGTACATTTCTGGCTAATACGACCCCAGCAGATATGTATGATACACCAAGTCTGACCTGAACAGCTTCTGGAATGGTGAGCATGTAATTAAAGTATGCTTGAATAACTGGGGTGCTAGAAACCCTGGGTATAAGAATGGCCATACACAATGGAATAGAACACCATTTTGTATACCTAGCAGTTCAATAGGTATCAATAAATAAAATAACAAGGTAAACCCATTCATTTAACACAGACAGTGAAGCAGAACAGAAAAATAAAATTGCAAAAGGTGCTTCTCTACTAATTGACAGTAGTCCTGGCTGCTGTGGCATCCCAGCTTGTCTGGGAGTTGTCTGCTTCACGATGGAACTACTTGGAACAGCCATTTTGGGTAGCCTGAACCTCATTCTTCCAGTGAACGTGCCATGAAGTTCCCCAAGACTAAACACCATTTGTTAGAGAGAACAACATAGCTTTCTTTCCATCTCCTTTCTAAGGCAATTTTAACCACATTTTTAGTAGAGCTCTGTTTTCTAGCTTCTTGCCATTTGTACCCCCTGACTGTCTCTTTCAAAGGACAATGGTGTGCCTCTCCAGCCTTAGAGTCTCAGGTTTTAGGAGAAACAGCAATGGTACAAACCTGCTTCAGATTCACAATTCACTCTTCTATTGTTTTCTAGAGGTCTCCTTGCCCATCATCCAGCCAGACAGAAGAATCTTGTTGCCTACCTCACACTTCATTTCACCGCATCTTCATTTCAAGAATTTCAAATCCCTACTGCAAGCAGTCAAATAACTATTAATATTTGACAAAGAAATGTATTATTTACACTTGATTATGCATAACAGCACTGACAGTTTCTAGGTTAAAAACTAAAGCCATTCATCTCTCTTGTTCTAACAATTGTTAAAGAGTTCAAAATTACTTAAAGGTTACTTTATACCAGTTTCAGATCTCTTGTTCTGAAAGTTTTCAAAGTGCAATCATGGAAACAAAACAGACTACAAGGACAAACACCAAAGTTTGGACTCAAGAGCACTGGTATATTTATGTATTACAGTTAATATGTTAATGCTCAGTGTTTGTCTTGCTTCCATTTGGCATGTGTGTCCCCCGTCTGCCTGTGCATCACATGAAACAAACTCATGGTCTGTTGTATCAGTGGAAAACAACTGTCCTTTTACAAGGTAAGTCAGGATGCCAGCAGTGAACTACAGGAGCAGAAGAACTGGCAAACATTTAATTCTGCTGTCACTGCTACAGCACCACCAACAACAGGCAAGTGGTAACACCTTGAGCACTTGCAGGTTATGCGGGTACCCTCTACAACTCATTAGCTTGAATCCTTCCACCTCTGCATAATCTCTATGGAAGCTGGAAGCTCTCCCACTCAATATTCTTTCAGATCTTCCTGCTCCAATTCTTAGTCTCTTATGTTGCTTAAGCTAAGGTCATTAACAGAAGTCAAATATAGCAGAAATATTTAATCATGGTAAAAAAAATAATTTTCATCAGAAGTTAACTCAGTGCATGTCTTCTGAGACAGGTCTACACAACAAAACAACTGAGAATCAAACATCAGGTAGTTAAGCAACTTCTTTTTTATTTAAATGAACTGGGAAACTGGGAATTTTCTCAAATTAAAAATAGAAACTTTTAAAAATCTGCTGTTCTGAACATTACATATACACATATGCTACATACTGGCAATTAGAAATGTTTCCATTTATGACCTAAAAATGAAAAATTTAAGGTTATTCCAGGTTAAAGACTGGTATCGCTTTTCAGTAGGTCTTAACAATTACATGACTGTTTGACAGAATTACCCCTACTTCAAGCCAATGAAACTTGTTGGAAACAAAGTTAACAATACTGACATATGAAGAGACAATATTTTAGATCAATATACACACTTAATTCACCCACCTTAATGTTTTACTCCAGTAACAGAGATACTTTTGGGCCTCGATGAATTCTGCTGTTAATTAATTCAGCAATGCAACTGCATGCCTAAAATCAAGGCAGTAACTCTAGTAGTAGAAATGTTAACTTCAATTGTGAAACACATTTGAGTTTCAGTATTAGAAATCATATTTTTAAAATATTTAGCAAAAATAATATTGCTGCCCCCTGAAAGAGTCACAGCTTAACAGTGGTGCTATTAAGAACATTACAGAAATGAGTGTGAATGAAGAAAAGGGAGACAGAAAACGTAAAGCATTCCAAAAATCACCCACAGATGGCATTTCTCATGCTCTTTTTGAGTACTACTGAACTCTAGAAAGCTTAGCTTTTGCACTATATTATGCATCACGGACACTCCCAACCCTCCCACCCAAAGAGTTTCAAAACAAACTTCTCCAAAAAATTCCCTTTTAGGTCTATACTGCAAAACCCACTAAATATTAAATAATTAAAAAAAAAAAAAAAAAAAGAGGGAGCAAAACGAAACTGCAACTGAAGTTTTCAGAGACACAAAGAGACACTGTGGATCCCATTACACTTCAAATTTAGTCCCAAGTGATCATTCAAGAGCACCAAATAGCAACACTGATCATGCTGGTAAATTTGTGAAGAGCACTATACAAGATTAAAATCTTAACTAAACACTTAAGTCTTAAGAAAAATGTATATACAAAAGCCTCTGTATACAAAATGCATTTTTATGTAAACGTGTATGTACTGTGTTTAACACAAATCAACAATTTAAGATAAGAACTTGACCAGGTGTCAGAGAATTGCTAGGCAAAGACTGTTAATCTAATTAATTTATATACTGTGATGTAAGGTAAAAAGCTCAGTGTAAAAAAGTAAAAAACAAAAACCATTTTAATTCAAGCTTTGAACAGTGGTATTTAAGAGGCAGTGCCCTGATTGCAAAATATTCTGTACAGTAGTTTATGGCATAACATTCAATAGTACAATTGGGATTTACAGTACGGGCGACATAAATGAAGTGGCTCAGGATTTAGAAGATGAATGCAAATGCCAATACACTTGGAAGAATAATGACATATTTCCACAGAAGAATCTCGAGCCTCATTTATATAGCCTGGAAATAAACACAAAAACAATTCAGGGAATCTTTATGAAGACAGAATTATAATGTAATTTAAGTAGAATTAGGCATAGATTTTCACATGGGTATCAATGTGGTTCAATAAGTAGCTTATTTTTTACTTTTACAACTTAAAACACTCATGTTACGGAAAGCAGAGCAGCCTTCTTAAAAACAGTAAAGTAGTAATAACCTAGAATTGACTTTAAAAGCTCATTACTTACCCCTTCATATTTCCAGTACATGTTACCACTGTTCCACAGAGCTATACAAGAAAAAACACAAACCAAAACCATCATTTTCTTTTGCCCACAAGTGGAACAGAAATACTGTGTCTGACTAAGGTGAGACAAGCCGAGCTGGCATGAACTATTCTCATACTTGTACCCACTTAAGCAAGAATTTTTCCAAAGAGGAGGAAACAGATTCATGGTTTTCTCCACCAACCTTTCTTTATTATCTTTGTTATCTTTGTTTCACGATAGGAAGAAATGCTTGGATTACTATTCACTGACACTCCTTTGAGAACTTAACCTAGCCTCCCATTTTGCTCTCATAAAAACAGTGACTGTATTTGAGGTTATTTGTATCTTTGGCACATATATAAAAAAACTGTGTGAGATACCTATACAAATATAAATATACCTTATAGAGATCTCACACTTGTATTTACATATTCCATATTTATAAAGAAAAATATTGGCTTCTCTTTCCAGCAAAATAATCCACCTGATTCCGAAGGACAAAAAAACCCCTATGGGATTCTTCACACCTGCAAAAGTGCAGGTGTACAGAAATCTATTTGAATTCATGTCTCAATGTACCTCCCAAAATACTTTATAGGAAATAAGAAAAAGGAAGGATAGCACAAGAGTGAAGAGTTTGCCAAAATGAAAATTAGAAACAAGTCTATTTGCTGTGGGAATCCCAGACTGAGAAATTCAAAAAGCATGTCTCTCTCAATTAGCAGTTTTTCAAATTATGTCAGCAAACAGAAGTCAGCATTGCTGAATCTCTACATTTTATTATGGCAGCCCATTTTGAGTAACTTAAAACTTAAGATTTAAGAAAATAAAGTCAAGACTGAACTAGTGGGTCTGTGTTTAAATTATTATTTTAGGTTAGTAATTTTTAGCTTATTCAGGAGCACTGTATTAACTATTCATCAATCACTGAAATATCACAGAAAACATGCTATGAATGTCAAGAATATTAATATTCATATTAAAGATTCAAAGATCAGAAAGGCACTTCTAAGGCCTGAACGATTATTAGTTTACTCTCATGTAAAATATCGAAAGTCCTTAGATATGCCAGAAGTATTTTTGAATTAAACACATTGCAGGTTTTAATATTTAGAGAGTACCCTTAAGGTGCAGAATATATCATAATGATTGTTATTGTAAAAATTTCCTTCAGAAGGAATCAAGATTTGGTCAGCAAATTAATTATTGTTAAATAGAGTTCTAATAAATAGTAACATACACCTGATTCAGCAAAAAAATCTGGCATGACTTCCAAACTGTAAGCTCTCTTGGTATTTACCCATTATGGAAGGAATTTCTCTACCAGTACTCAACCTGTACTTTCAGTTGTGAGATCGCAAGTTAAGGCACAGTGAGCACAGATTTCAGTTGCAAGTTAGATCCTTCCTTAAGCAACTCAGACATTTTGCAACCCTAACTATCAAAACTGTGGGACACTCTATGGTATCCCTATGGAAACTGAAAGTCTCACAGTAGCTAAGATTTTACAGCACAGAAGTTGCAGATACAGAAAAGAACTCAAATCCCCTCTTTTGTAAACAAAACAGCTTTTTTATTTTATGCCATTACACTAGTTCCACCCATGCAGAAACACCCACTTTCTCTGGTCGTGTTTTCTGCAATACCCTGCATCACCTGCCTTTTCCATAGGAAAAGCTCCTCTTGCCACAATCCAAGAAATGAAACAACTTGGGATTAAGAATGCATTCCATCCTATCAATTTCAACGACTATCAGAGTATTTTAATGTGTTTATCAATTTAGGACCACCCACTGGCCTAGATAAATACCTAATCACCTGGATTTTAAGATCCAATTTTGGCAACTGCTTTGTTAAGTTGCTGGAAATGACGAGAATATCTGCTGCTACGTAAAGAATATTGGAGAAATATAAATCATACAAAATTTGCTATAGTGAGTAACCATGCAAAAAAACCCCCACATAAATAAGTGATTCTCTTTAAAACGTGCAGAAAAGTGGATAGGTGATTAATATAGTAGATTAAGTAAGGACACATGAAGGCATGCAGTTTCAGACTTGGTTTACCTTGTAAAAACAGGATTGTGTATACCATATAAATGCTCTTTATGATAACCATTATTACCATTTTCCATACTGCAATAAAATAAATACACCAAGAAAGACCATGTTAACTATAAAATGTGCTATGTACAGTATGGCTTCTAAGACATGTACATGGATGTCAGTGTTATGTGCAAAGATAAACTGTGTCTGTACAATAGAACATACTTTTC